TTCAGATGAGCTTCCAGACAAAGACAGACTAGGAAGAAAGAGTGACAAACTACTTTCGAATATTTAGTCACTGAAAACCTTATGAATAGCAGAGGCTTCACCTTAGACATTTATATTTCCAAGATTCTTGAGACTTTCTTGCCCCAGTTTCCACATCACTGCCCTACTTACAGAATACCATAAATGTTAGCATGCTTTTCTGCATTTCAAACTAGATATTAACTTCCGGTTCCATAAGGTTTCTGCAGCCTTAACATTGTGCCTGGCCCTGGGACGTGCTGCTGACCCACGGCAGGTCTTCATCAGCGCTAGTTGTGGAGGCCACATGGATTCCTGTCCAGAGAACTTCCTCTGCCCCCTGACGTCTGATAGCAGGAGAGGGGGCTTGGCAGCAGGATGGTCTCCAGCATTTGGGTTGAAATCAGAGCATTTTGAGTCTGCTGTGTGACCTGGCTACTCACCTGACTGCAGACTCCCTCTTCCTGGTGGCGTCTGTGATGTGCACAGGAAGGGTGTTGGCAGAGAGGGAAGCAAGACCACTCAGAGAACGACTCCTTGGCAGCGGAGGGCTGGCTGGCTGTGGGGAGTCCTAGAAGACACAAAGGCTGGCATTGGTGGGATGGATGTGTGATACGTTTCTGTCCCCACCAGAATTCAGTTTCAGCGAAAGTTAGTCAGACTGAGAAACTTCATTTCCCCCCTGGGAATAAAGCAAGGATAATGCGATCTTAAGTTTAGTAACCATGCCAAGAAAACCAAGCCAAACCCACTGCTGTCAAATTGATTGCTGCTCAGAGCGGTCCTATAGGACAGAGAGAACCACCCCATAGGCTTCCGAAGGCTGTTAAACTTTATGGAAACACACAGCCACATCTTTCTCCTTGGAGCTCCTGGTGGGTTTGAACCTCTTACCTTTATATTAGCAGCCGAGTGCTTTAACCCCTGTGTCACCAGGGCTCACCACGCCAAGACTTTGATGTTAATCCTAAAGTTTTTAGTCAAATAAGTAGAGTTCTTTCGGCATTAATACAAGAACATAAAAGCAACTGATCTCAACTCCCTGCCTTCTAGACCTACTTAGACTAATTTCTGCAAATCTCTTTATAGAAGGAAGGAAAGGAAGTGTTCTTGTGGCCAGGAATTTTTAAACAGTATTGCTTAGGGCCATTCAGTCAGTTCTGACTTACTTCTCATGACAGTTTTTTCAATTAACATTGAGACCTGGGCCCCTCCCTGTATTTTAGGACTCAGGCCCTGACCCTCCCTCCTATGACTGCCTGGGTTCTCACCCTCCTCCCTCCAGTGGTGTCTGTATTGCCAGGCCGCTGAGTGTGACGCAGGTTGGCCGTTCTCAGCAAGAAGGGCTTGTTGTGCGTCCCCTCTCTGGTTTCCCGTCTCTTGGCAGCTCTTCTCTGGAAGGCCTTATAAAGGCCCTCATAGTCAGGGACAGTAGGATTCACCCGAGGCTGGAATTCAAAGTTAGTCTGCAGAAACCCCAGCTTCTCTTCCCGGGTTCGGGTGGCTGTTCGAGACTGTGGGTCCACCCGGCTACTAGAGGAGGGGATCGGGGAGGAGGCCATCCGGAGCATGTCCAAGGCCCTCATCTGGATGCGGATTTTCCTGAAGAGCTCAGCTTCTGTAGAGAAAAAGTTGGGGTTGTGAAGAGTGAGGAGGGACCAAACCTCATATGATAAAAGGTCTAGAGAACTTTCTCCCTTTTAAACACTGGCAGTAGTGTGCTGTAGACCGCTGTTCATTTTTTTTAGGAATTTGGTGTCCGCTGACATCATGTGGAAAGCTTGAAACTGACCACAGTGGGCATATTTACACCACAGAAAATGACAAGCACTGTACAAATCAGTCTACTTTAAATTTAAATTTGGCCTGCGTGCTAAGTGTGTTGCCAAAGCAACTACCACTCCCACCCACTGAGCTGGAAGTGGGCCTGTCTCCTGACCCCACCAGGTTTCCACATCTTTCAGCATCTGAGGAAGGCTATCCAGCCACACAATGCCAAGCCTATTTTCCAAATCACCCTTGACTCCCGTTCCCAGGGAATCAGTCCCGAGTTTTGTGATCTCCTCCATTTTAACTTCTCACCAGTCCATTGTTTTTCCTTTGTCCCTGATACTAACAGAATTTCTCAACTGGATTACTGAATTGGCCTGTAAGATTAACATCCCTTCCATTTGGCTCACCCCACCCTTTAATTTTCTTCACAGCAACTAGATTAATCCTACTGAAATGCATATCTGATCATGAGCCACCCTACCTAAAACCTTTTAAGAATTCCTCTAGGGCCCTTGGGATGAAGTTCAAATTCCAGGACATGGCCCTTAAGGTCTTCCAGGTCTGACCGTTGTCTGCCTCTCATTCCCCACTTGTCTTCTTCTCTCTCCCCGTGGCCTTTTCTCCCTCCCCTTTACTTTTCTATCTTTGGACTATGCTCTGCTTCTCTTGGTGTATCCATCTCTGACTCATATATCCCTCCTCTCTCTTCATGAAATCAACCACAGCTCAGCCTTCAGGGTCCCGTCCCGATGCTCATTGTCTCTGGGGGCCTTCCCCAATGTCTCCCAACTCACAAAACAGACTAGTTAGGCCCCCTGGCATATACTCCATATGGTCCTGTTGTGGATTGAATTGTGTCTCCCAAAAATCTGTGCTGTGAATCCTAACCCATATAGTGGCTATAATCCCAACTGAGAATGTGTTTCCTTTGTTATTTAATTAGGCAGTATTAGTGCAGATTAATCCATCTCTTCTGAAATATAAAAGAGCAGATTAAGCCAGCAAGCCAGCAGAGATGGGGGAGATCGATGTCATGCCAAATGAAGACTCCCTCAGAAGGAGAGAGAAAAAGCCTTCCTCTAAAGTTGGTACCCTGAATTTGGACTTCCAGCTTGCTAAACTGTGAGAAGATAAATTTCTCTTTGTTAAAGCCACCCCTTGAGATGGAGCAGCTGGGGACTTTAGACCCAGAGAAGGAGAGGGGTTGTGTGCTGACAACCAGGGGCAGGCTTGCAGGGTATATACCCTTTGATTGGTTGATGATGCATGGAGGGGATTGTAACCATGGCAATAAAACGAGATAGACTGAATGTAATACTGTTTTCCCGTGTAAACTATTACATAATTCACAGTAAAACATTAAAAAAAAAAAAGCCCCCCCTTGTGGTATTTCTTCTACAGAGGCACTCGCTAAGACACTAGATAACTTTCCCTTTTTATCACTACAAAGGATTCATCATATTTGTAATTATTGTCTGTCTTCCTCATGTCTACAAACTCCATGTCTGTTTATTCACCATTGAAAGGTGCCTGGTTGGTGACGCATGTTGCTGAGTGAACAACGAAAGACTAGTCCCTTATCCAGAGTGACACTTCCTGCAATGGGTAAATCATCATCCCTCCAGTGATTTTAGTGACTGGCATTGCCTCACTAGAATGAGGGAGTGTTGGGAGAATTTTTCCAGGGCTGTTGGCTAGTAAGTAACAACACTGGTCTAGGCTGGTCTTTGGCTGTTTCATTGGTTCTCTGCTCTTGCCCCTGTGTAGAGACTTCATATCTTCTCAGCAGGGTGACTGAGAGAAAGGCCAACAGGATGAGCCTTGGGCTCCATCTGGTAGGACCTCTTCTCCTCCACTCCTGACAGTGTTCTGTTACAGAGAAGGACCTCCCGCCCCCACCCCATGGTTGTCACTGAGCTGTCCTGTGCAGCCTCTGGTGGGTCCACCTGGACAGGTCATTTCCAAGCCTGTCTGACCTCTTGAGCCCCAGATGAATCCCCAAAGTCCTTTCAGTACCCCTAGGAGGTGGCAAGGATGTCCATACCCTGGAGTTTGTCCCCGAGGGCTGGCTCCAGAATAGACTTGGGGATCTTCTTGGTGGCTTTCTGCTTGGGCACCTTGGTCAGAACTGTGGCGGCCAAGTCCCTCTGTCTCGCAGCTTCCTTTCGTTGCTCCTCCTTTGCCAGGAAGCTGAAGGGCTTCAGGGAAGAGAGGAGCAGCTCCTTCCTCTGCTGGACTCCAGCCCGCCTGCGTGCCTCGCTGCGCTCCAGGATCTCTTGATAGAGGGGTAGGTAGACGTGTGCAGGCACAGGCTGTGCCTGGAACTGGCGATGGCATTCGGCCTCCTCCTGGCCCTGCCTCTGGGCCTGCTGTCTCACATGCTCAAAGGAGGGGAGGGAGGCCAGCCTCTGGGCTTTCTTTCGAGCCTCACGCAAAGTCATGTGGAATGGCTGGGGGACAGTGATGGACGAGGCCCAGCTGCTGATGCTTCTGTGCTGGGAGGAGGGTCCAGAGACACGGGGCGGGCTAGGCTGATCCCTGGGACTGTCTGAGGGGAGGCTGCTCAAGGAACTGCAGCGCCTTGTGGAGCCATACCTGGGGGAAGAAAGCTGATCTGGGTCCTCCTTCCCACTCCTCCCCAGTCTTCCCTTCCCAGCAGGTCACACAGCTACCCAACAGCTTAGTGGGAAGTCTTCTCCCAGACTTGGTCTAGACATTGCCATTAGACACTCACATATTGTCATCTGCAAGACAGAACAGTGCGGGGGAACAAAAGCCGGGCCCTAGAATCAGACCAGTGGTGCTGCTGGTATGCCATTGAGTCTGGTCCGACTCATAGCGAGCTTGTATAGGGTTTCCGAGGTTGTCAATCTTGACAGGAGCAGCTGGTAGATTCAAACTGCTGACCTTGCAGTTAGCAACCCAGCTCACATTCACTATGCTACACCAGGGCTCCTAGAGTCAGACAGACTTAAGTTCAAATCTTGCTTCAAGCAATTAACAGTTGTGTGCCCTTAAAAAAGTCTTAATGTCCTCATCTGTAGGAAGACAAAAATAATATCCAGTTACAGAATGATTAAGGAGCCTTGGTAATGTAACGGACTATGAGTTGTGCTGCTAGCCACAAGGTTAGCAGTTTAAATCTCCCAGCTGCTCTGCGGGAGAAAGATGAAGGCTTTCTGCTCCCATAAAGATTACTGCTTAGGAAATCCTCTACAGGGTTGCTATGAGCCAGAATTGACTTGGTGGCACATAACTATCACCAGCACCGCAGGATTACTGGAAGGAGAACATAAATATTCAAGACACACACACATACACGCACACAGCAGTGAATGGCAGGCCAAGGCAGATACACAATAATGGGAGCGGGTACCAGCCTTTATAGCCCTGGGGTGGTAGTGTGTTTGAGAAAGGCATCCTTTAATCAGTTCCAGTGCTTCTGGTGACTAAGGGTTCCCCTGCTGGGTAAGTGGTCACTTGAAGAAGTGATCTTGGCTTTGGGGAGGAAGCTGAGGCTCAGAAACAGGACATGACTTGCCTCGAGTTGTGGAATAGCTGTTGTAACACAGTCACTTACCTCAGAGACTGGCGACTCCAGACCTGTGGCTTCTCCCTGCCCTTGTCTTGAAAGACACTCTCCAGGTTCCCATTCTCTTCAGAGAGCTTCCCATCACTGTCTGAGTCTGACTGATAAAGGGATTGCAGCAGGCAGTGCCTGCCTTCTTCGGTGAGTACCTCTAGGCTCTTGTAAAAGCTCCCAGCTGAGTCAGAAGTAGACTCTGTCTCCTCATCTGGGCTAAGGAACTCATCAAGCTTGCCAGCCCTGGGCAAGACCAATACGTCCTCAGACAACTCCTCTTCTGCTTCTGTGTCTGAAGAGGATTTGGGAGGAAATATCTAAAATGAAATAGTAGTAGACTCTGGGTCACACTATCATTTCAAATTAATTCAAAACAAATATTAATCTCACTTTGAATAAACCTGTGGCTGTTAGGGACTGGGCAAAACAAAGAAAAGTAAGATGTATGCGTTCCTTGCTCAAAAGAAATTTCACAACTTGGTATTTCGAGGTGTTCTTAGTTACAGGGAGAGAGTGCAGAGAGGGGCCAGGAGCTAAATGAAGTTGGTTCCCTACTCCATGCACTAAGTAAGCATTTACAGAGCGCCTGCTCTGCCTCACGCACGCACACACTCCAGAATCCCTACCCTGATCTTGGCCACGCTGGGCCTGTGCTTCTTGATGTTACTTGCTCATTGACCATCCGCCTTTTCCTGCTGCTTGTCGGCACCTGTTTTCTCATAGTCTAGCTAATTTCCACTCTGTCACTATGAATGGGTGATACACAGGACAGACAGTATGGGTTGGCTGAGAGAACAATATTTTAGCTTTTACTCATTCATTCAGAAAATAAATACTTACTAGGTATCTAATGTGTACTCGGATCCTAGAGTGGCACTGTAAGATAAGCAATGGACTGCTAAACCCAAGCTCTGAAGTTCAAATCCATCAGCTGCTCTCAGAAACCCTATACAGGGTCACAATGAGTCGAATGGAGTCCTGGTGTTAATGTGCCAGACTGCAAAGCCATCTGAACTTCAAAGTCGGCGGTTCAAGCTCACCAGCTGCTCCTCGGAAACCTTATACAGGGTCGCTATGGGTTGGAACCGACTCAATAGCACTTCACAACAACAAAATGTGTACTAGGCTAAGAAGCAACCATTGGTCTCTTATCATTTGGAAGATAGGGGAACAAAGAAAAAAGAAAACTCAAGGAAGCAATTAGTCCAAAGGACCAATGACTCACATGAACCACAACCTCCTTTACCCTGAGACCAGGTGAATTAGATGGTGCCTAGCTACCACTACTGACCACTCTAATTACAGTTGAATGTTATGGTTAGAATGATTTAAAAAACCCAAAAACATAAAAGAAAATTCAAAGCCAAAAAGAAGGCCAAACTTACTGGTCAGCAAGAGACTAGAGGAACCCTTAAGGCATTGTCCTGAGAAAACCTGAAGACAATCTTGGAGGCCTCCTTCCAGCCAAATAACAAACATCCTGGTGTGGCTCTGTGAGTTAGTGTGCTGAACTGCAAGGTTGGTTTGAAAGACAAGGTGAGCAGTTCAACCTCACTAACCACTACTGGGAAACCCTACATAGGGTCACTATGAGTCAGAACTGACTGGAAAGCACTTAACAACAACAACAATGAAGCAAACAGTGTAAAGAATGTGCTCCTCAGAACAATCAATTATATTAGACTAACAGGGCAACATTTGTCTAAGATGAGGAAACAAGGAGGGACGGAAAATCAGGACAAATGGGAATGGGAAACTCAGACAGGAAATAGAGAGAGTGCTAACACATTGTAGGAATTGCTAGCAGTGTTACCAAAGAATTTTTGTGTATGGAACTATGAATTGGGAAAACTCATTTGTGATGTAAATTTGCACTTAAAGCACAATAAAATGTTTTGTTTTGTTATTTAAAAAAAAAAAATGTGTTCTAGGAACTAACATGGAATGGTCAGTCATTCAAGATCAAAAGGGTAACATAAAAAAAAAAAAGGGCAACATTTCCCTAAGGGCAAAGTTGAGAAAGGGTGGGAAGGTGGGTGGACTGGAAGTAGGAATCCTAGCAAGGAAGCAGGACAACTGCTGTTGCAGTGAGGGGATTGTAGTCATTGAGATGAAACAAAGTGTATGATTTGTTGAAAGTAAAACTGAGGATCTTATCTGTAAACCTTCACTCAATTCACAATAAAAAGTTTTTACAAAATGTGCACTGAATGCTATCCCCTCTGTATACAGGGCAAATAGGGACAAGCAACTTTGACATTGGCTACCTAAAAAGAGGAGGAGATAAAGGCACAAAGTGACTGGCTTACAAGGTGTTAAGAGGGAGTTTAGTTTAAGAGTGTGTGGGGGAAGATAGGGTCCCCAGTGAATAGTTTTCATCTTGTCTAGAAGGGTCTGGTAAAAAGAGATGGGGAGATTGTAATGAAACAAGGTGTATGATTTCTTGAATGTAAAACTGATGATCTGCCCTGTAAACTTTCACTCAATTCATAATAAAAACTTAAAAAAAAAAAAATGTGTACTGATGTGGCTCTACAGGATAAACAATGGACTGCTAACCTCAAGGTTGTCAGTTCAAACCCACCAGCCACTCTCAGTAACCCTATACAACGCTGTTATGAATTGAAACCGATTTGACAGTACTTAACAACAAAATGTATACTAGGAGTCCTGGTGTGGCACTGTAGGATAAGCCCTGGACTGCTAACTACAAGGTCAGTGGTTCAAACCCACTAGCCGCTCCTCGAAAGCCCTATACAGGGTTGTTATGCACTAGGACACTGGTGGTGCTGTTGGATAAGCACTGGACTTCTAAGCACAAGGTCTGTAAATCCAAGCCACCAGCAGCTCTGAGGGAGAAAGGAGAGGCTTTCTGCTCCCATAAAGATTTACAGATTTGGAAACCCTATGTAGAGTCGCTTTGAGCCAGAACCAACTGAATGACATGTGTACTGATATGGCTCTACAGGATAAACAATGGACTGCTAACCTCAAGGTTGTCAGTTCAAACCCACCAGCCACTCTCAGTAACCCTATACAACGTTGTTATGTTTGGCTGAGAACAAGGCAAACAAGGACCCTTCTCTCATGACATCTTAACAGTCTAGTGAGGGGAGACAGACAATAAATAAATTGATGATAAGTTCAGTGAAGACTATAAAACACTGAGGTTACAGAGGGTGATGGAGCCTTTCTGGAAAGTTCTTTTGATGATAAAGCCCATTGGGAATGTGCCTATAATCAAAGCTAGGTTTCTTATTTTGTTGCAGCATTCGATGGGATACAAAGTCACAGGGCATGAAGGAGTTTTCAGTAATAAGGCTGGGGAGGAAGGTTTGGTAAACTTGACTTATGCTAAGGAGGATTAGGGGAAACAGGCACTGATTTTTAATTGGTGGGCTGGTCGATTTATTGTTGCTAAGAAGTTGGGACAATTTAATAAGTGGGTGACTGAGCAATTTTTTTTCCAAAGGTAGAGAAAATAAGCAGAAATGGGTAAATAATTGGCTGTTGTTATTAAATGTTGTTGAGTTGGTTCTGACTCATGGAGACCCTATATAGGGTTTCCAAGACTGTAAATCTTTGCAGGAGTAGAAAACCTCATCTTTCTCTAGTAGAGTTGCTGGTGGGCTGGAACCATCAACCTTGTGGTTAGCAGTCCAGGGCTTAACCTACAGAGCCACCACTCTCCCAGACAATTGGTAAAATATCAGAACAAGTGGGTATTGGTAATTTTGCAGCTAAGGTGTGACTCTGGAAGTAAGTAACTGTTTCTGTTGCTCTTCTTGCCCGCCTGATTTGTACCAGTTTTAATCTGAGTTTATCTTTCACAGGCACAGGCTGATTTATATTTATTTCCTCACTTTGGAGGAATTTTGGATGGATACCTGATGAATAAGAAGGAACCAGCTTGGCCAACATCTGGGGAAAGAAAGATCTGGGCTCAAGAAACACCAAACGCAAAGGTCTTTAGGCAGACTTCTGAGAGAGGAACAAAGTTGGCTTTTGGAGAGGTACAAAGATGACCAGCATGCTTGGAGCAGAGAAGCATGAAATGACATTGGAGAGGTAGGATGGGTTGCAGAGGCCAAGTGGCTGCAGCAGGCAGAGCAGCTGGAGGTGACCACTGAGTCCTCCAGATGACACTAAGTGATGGTTACTGGGTTCTCTAATGTCCAGAGGTAACATTGGAGAGAATACTGTTACTAAGGAGCATGTGGCTGGGCAAGTTCATTATATATATATATATATTGTTGTTGCTAAGTGCTGTCGAGTTGGTTCCGACCCACAGAGACCCTGAATAGTGTTTCCAAGGCTGTAAATCTTTACGGGAGCAGAAAGCCTCCTCTTTCTCCCGCGGAGCAGCTGGTAGTTTCGAACCGCTGACCTTAAGGTTCGCAGCCCGATTCGTAACCACTACGCTACCAGAGCTCCATATATATATATATATGTAAGAGAGAGAGAGAACTCTGGTAGCGTTCGGGCTGCAAACCTTAAGGTCAGCAGTTCGAAACTACCAGCTGCTCCGCGGGAGAAAGATGAGGCTTTCTACTCCCGTAAAGATTTACACCCTCGGAAACCCTATACAGGGTCGCTATGGGTCGGAACCGACTCGATGGCACATAACAACAACAACAAATATAAGCTGTGTGTGGCGCTGTGGGTTAATGCGTCAAACTGCAAAGCCCTTTGAACTGCAAGGCCAGTGGTTCAAGCTCACTGGCTGCTCCTCAGAAACCCTATACAGGGTCGCTATGGGTCGGAACCGACTCGATGGCATTTAACAACAACAACACACACACACACCTACCGACCTTGCAGTTCAAACGACTTTGCAGTCTAATGCATTAGCCCGCAGCAGCACATCACATACAATTCGCTCATTGTTATCGTACAATTCAATGGTTTTTAATATATTTACAACCATCATCCCAATCAATTTTGGAACAATTTCACCATCCTAGAAAGAAATCCATACTCTTTAGCAGGCACTCCCAATTCCCCCAACACCCACTTCCCTAGTCCTAGGCAACCACCAATCTATTTTCTGTCTCTATGGATTTGGGGAGAATTTCCTAATCTCTCTCATCTACGAAATGCGGGCAATGACCATACTATTGGTCAGAAGGTAGTTGCGAGGGATAAACCAAAACGGAGTGCGCTTGCTATGGTTCTAGGAACAGCCTGAAATCTGAAACTGTCCCTGAGTCAGACCCTGCTTCTCGGCCCCAAAATGAAGCCTATTTTAATCCCACATAACCTCCAGTGCCACGCCCCTGCCGGTCTCCTAGGAAACATCAAACATCTCTGGAGCGCAGTCTTTCTTCCTCCCCTTTTCTTCCCCTCCTCACCTGATCGCCCCATTCCGAGCCTCCGGGGGCTCCCGCAGGCCTCCCCACAGTCATCTTGTCAGCCAGGCGGAGCCAGGGTGACCGCAGCTGAGGGTTTGCAGCAGTAACCGCGGCGGTGGAGGCGCTAGCAACGCCGAGTCAGGTTCCGCCCCCATTCTAGTTTTGGCCTCTGATTGGTGGATGCACTGGGTTAATCTGCTGCAAAATACTTTTTTTAAAGTGTTAAAAAGAAAAGATGTCATTTTGAGGACTGTACACTTGATCAAAAGCATGGTATTTTCAATCATCTAATTTTCATGTGAAAGTTGGGCAATGAGTTAGAAAGACCGTAGAAGAATCAATGCATTTGAGTTATGGTGTTGGTGAAGAATATTAAAAATACCATTAATTGACAGGAGAAAAAAAAAAATTCAGTTTTGGAAGAAATGCTGACGAACGTACTTTGGACATGTTATCAGGAGGGACCAGTCAGTCCCTCCAGACTTGGGTAGAGACTCGGTGAAAAAAAGGGACCTTCAAAGAGATGGTTTGACACAGTGGCTGCTACAATGTTCTCAAACATAGCAACAATTTTGAGGATGGCACAAAGTTCAGTCAGCGCCGATTCAAGGCACCAAATCACCACAACGACATAAACCAGTTTCAGTGTGAGGAAATAATCCTGCCCAAGGAACCCTGGTGTGGCCCCCATAGGATAAGCAATGGACTGCTAATCGCAAAATTAGAGTTTCAAACCCACCAGGAGCTCAGTTACCTCATATGCATGCGAAAGCTGGATAGTGAATAAGGAAGACCATAGAAGAATTGATGCTTTTGAGGTATAGCGTTGGAGGAGAATATTGAAAGTGTAATGGGCTGCCAAAAGAACAAACAGATCTGTGTTGGACAAAGTGCAGCCAGAGTGCTCCTTGGAGGCCAGGATGGCCAAACTTTGTCTCTCATACTTAGGACAGATTGTCAGGAGAGACCAGTCGCTGGAGAAGGATATCATGTTTGGTGAAGTGGAGGAGGGTCAGAGAAAAAGAGGAAGACCCGCAGCGAGATGGATTGGCAAAGTGGCAGCATCAGTGGGCTCAAACGTGGCAACAATAGTGAGGTTGGCCCAGGATCGGGCAGTGTTTCATTCTGCTATTGCAGAAGGTCGCTATGAATCGGTACCGACTCGATGGCACCTAACAACAACATCAAAATAGCTACGAGTCGGAACCGTCTAGACAGCAGTTAGCAACAACAAGAGGCAAAGGGTCGTTTTCTTATTGGCCTAGTCTTTTCGATAGTTTTATTTCCGGTTCGGAGACTGGGGTTGAGGTGGCATATGATTGGAGATTTCTGCTCCGGAATCACTTCCGGAGGAGGACCTTAGGAGAGGTACGCGAAGTCCCGCGTAGGTCAGCCAGGCATCATGGCAGCCCGTCTCGCTATGAGCGGGTGGGGAGCTGGGCGTGCGACGGCCCGCCGAGGCCCGCTGGTCCCCTGTCGTAAGTGGTCCGGCGCCCCAGCGGACACTGTGTACGATGTGGTGGTGTCGGGCGGAGGCCTGGTGGGAGCCGCCATGGCCTGTGCCTTGGGTAAGCGCATCTCCAGACCGGTAGTGGGGAGCTGGGCCGCGGAGGTAGCTAGGTGGACCGTGGGAATCTGGCAGTGCTTGCCCGAAGACTTGAGTCCTGAATCTCGAGGTCCAGGCCCTTCGTAGAGGCACCCCGGGGCGCGGATTGGGTCCCTCCGGGTCAGGAATGGTCAAAGGCGGGAGGGGCCTTAAGTGTCATTCCAGCGTGTGGGAAACAGACTTGGCCGAGAGCTCCGAGTTATAGAATGGTCAGAAGACCTCAGGCCTTGTCCTATTGCTCCACGGTTTAAAATAAAATAACAAAAACATTACTGAGATTTATTTACATACTATTAAGTTCACCCGTTTGGATTGTACAATGTAATGGGTTTTAGTATAGTCATGTTTGTGCAGCCATAATCACAGTAAATTTTAGGTTTATTTTCATAATCCCCCCCACACAAGAAACTAACGATCAGCAGTCACTCCCCATTACCCCCTCTCCCCTTAGCCCCTGATAACCACCAGTCTCTTTTCTTGTCTGTCCATTTGCCTATTCTAAATATTTCATACAAATGTTAAGTGCCATTGAGTCGGTTCCAACCTAGGAGCGCCTGGTGAGTTTGAAGCACGGACCTTGAGGTTCAAACCGATTGCAGTCCAGCGCATTCACCCACAGCGCCACACCAAGATTCCTTCATAGAAACAAGATCATGCAATATATGACCTGTGTCTGACTTCTTTCACTTAGCATATTTTCATGTTTTATTCATCTATGTCATAACATATATCAATATGTCATTCTTTTTTTTTTTTGGCTGAATAATATCCCACTGTTTGGATATATCACAATTTGTTAAACCATTCAACAGTTGATGGCCATTTGGATTGTGTCCACTTTTGTTTGTTATAAATAATCTGCTATGACTGTTAACGTTCAGGTTTGTTTTGTGGACATAATGTTTTAATTTCTCTCAGGTATATGTCTAAGAATGGAGTATGGTAACTGTTTAAAGTTTTGAAGAACTGCCAAATTTTTCAAAGTGACTGTACCAGTTTACATTCCCATATGAGAACTCCAATTTCTCCACATCTTCACCAACACATATTACTATCTGTTAAAAAAGTTATAGCCACCTTAGTGGATTGGAGTCTAACACATGTGGCTTTGATTGCGTTTTCCTAATGACTAAGGGAGCTCTGGTAGTGTAGTGGTTACGAATCCGGCTGCTAACCTCAAGGTCGGCAGTTCAAAACTACCAGCTGTTCCGCAGGAGAAAGATGAGGCTTTCTGCTCCCATAAAGATTTCCAGTCTTGGAAACCCTGTGCAGGGTCACTATGAGTCGGAATCGACTCCACGGTACTTAATGACAAGCAACAAGGATGTTATTTATTAATCCAGTGGTTAGGATTTTTGATTTCTTTACATTGAGGTTTCCATCCATACTGAAACTAAAGTCTTTCATCTTCATCAGTATTTCAAGTCCTCTTCACTTCCAGCAAGCAAGCCTGTGTTACTTGCGTATCACCAATGTGTCTTCCAATCCTCATGTCATGTTGTTCATATAATTGAACGTCTCAGATTATATGCTTAGCAAACAGATTGAATAAGTATGGTGAAAGGATACAGCCATGATACACACCTTTCTTGTTTTAAAACCATTGTTTTAAATCATTAACCCTTGTTCTGTTTGAATTACTGTCTTTTGGTCTATGTACAGGTTCACAATGAAAGGCTCTGGAATATCCATTCGTCACAATGTTATTCATAGTTTGTGATGATCCACACAATCGAATGTCTTTATATAGTCAATAAAGCACCAGTAAACTTTTTAAAATTGCTTTCAGGCAAGTTCCATCTGATACCAGCCATGATATCCCTAGTTCCACATGCTCTTCTGAATCCAGCGTAATTTCTGGCAGATCCCTGTTGATGTACTGCTGCAACCGTTTTTGAGTTATCTTCAGCAAAATTTTCTTTGTATGGTATTAATGATGTTCAACAATTTCTGCATTCCGTTGGGTCACCTTTCTTTGGAATAGATACAAATATGTAGCTCTTCCTGTCGATTTACTAGCGAACTGTCTTCCATATCTCTTGACATAGATGAATTGTTAAAAGTTTCATCAAGTCTGGAGCCTCGTTATTTTATCCATGTTTTCAGTGCAGCTTGGACTTTTTCCTTCAGTACCATTGGCTTTTGATCATATGCTACCTCTTTTTTCAAACAAAAAACCCACTCAGGCATATATAATAATTTACATCTCCAAAGGGCACATTCTGCAAGTCTGCTCCTGGCCACTAACTCTTAGTCCTTCTCTTCTTAGTTGATGAATCTAGAGTCCTCAGCTGCGCCCCCTCTCCATGCCCCCATCTCTGCATCTATCTCTGGCGCTGCTGTGTCTCTGGATAAGGTCCTGCACTCTGCTTGTGCGCTTCTCTCTTGATGGTCCTAGGGTCCTCTGTTTCTGGACTGTAAGATTAACCACTCCCCTTTTTTTGTTACAAAACTTCTACCTTTATAATTGTGACAGTCACAATTAGTCATGATAACAATTATTCACTATTGAATCTTACAAATCTTATCCCCATCTCTTTTCACCAGACCCATCTAGACAAGATGACAGCTATTCAGTGGGGACTCTTTCTTTCCCTCCATACTCTTAAACTAAGCTCCCTCTTGAAACCTTGTACACTAGTCACTTCGTGCCTTTATTGCCCCCTCATTTTAGGTATCCTGTGTCTAAGTTGCCCATCCCTAGCTACCCTGTGTACAGAGGGGATAGATATGTTACCTCTTGAAATGGTTGAATATAGACCAACTCTTTTTGGTACAGCGACTCTACATATTCCTTTGATCTTTTGATGTTTCCTGTTTCATTCAACCTTTTGCCCATAGAATCCTTCAATATTGCAATTTGAGGCTTGGATTTTTTTCTTCAGTTGTTTTTGCTTGAGAAATGCTGTATGTGTCCTTCCCTTTTGGTTTTCTGGCTCCAGGTTTTTGTACATTTCATTTGCCCTGACAAAGATCATGAAAGGAGCTCTGCGCCTTGATGGTACAATGGTTAAAGTGCTAGTTTGCACACCAAAAGGTCAGTAGTTCAAAACCATCAGCTGCTCTGAAGGAGATGTGGCAGTCAGCTTCCATAAGACTTACATCTTTCTAATTACATTCTTGGAGTCTTGGTGTGGCGCTGTTCGAAACCCTATACAGGGTTGCAAAGGGTAGGCACTTAACAACAACAGTTACATTCTTATTTAATTGAATTGTAGATTGGCAGATTGTAGATTGGCAAATGAGCAAGTTAAAGCTCAGAAAGGTTAAGTGATGTGCACCAGGAATGGACAACAGATCTGCAGGGCTTCAAACTGGTTCATTCTGGTTCAACTCTTTGCTTTGCCTTTCCTATGTGTTGTTGTTGTTGTTAAGTGTCATCTAGTTGATTCGGACCAATAGTGACCCTGTATAGAGTTTCCAAGGAGCAGCTGGTGAGCTTGAACCA